CAAATTTTAGACGCTAACACGCGGTATCTTCCACTGTCCTCATATCTGTGCTTTATCTTTTTTTTTTGCGAATGTGTTAAGCCACTGAACACAGGATGTACAGTTGAACTGGTGATGGGAGGGGGTGAAATGCAAGCAGTTAGCCGCATGGTGTAGAGGTAATTAGTGTTGGACTGTAATCCGAGACAATTAATTAAGGATATTGCAAAAATGCATGCTCCGCTTACAGATCGCATGGGTGAATTCTGATTACATTACCCACAACAATAACAGTCTACGAAGCAACAAATTATGCCAATCCAGTGCGGTCCATCAGCAAATGACCACTTATGGACCCCAGACCGTGTTCGCCGCCGTTGTTACTCCTCAAATTCACAAGCAAATGTGCTTCAACTCTAGCCTTCTTTCAAGAACATCTAGATATTTTTCGAGGAACTCGACGGGCCAAACTCGGCTAGGCCAGTTCATGCATAATCCGCGTTGACCTAGTTTTTTTAGTTTGTTGAGATAATTTTAGATTGTGGTTTAATAAAGGCTACTTTATGATAAACGGTCGAAATATGGTAATACCTCACTGGATAAGTATAGGAAAGTGTTTGGGTACAACTGTCTTTTATCTGTGTATCAGTTTTCACTCCCTTCAGCTATGGTACCTCCAAAGTGGTATCAGTATGAACGATGTTTAATTGTGGCACCTGTTCTTGTATTTCAAGGAATAAGATGACAGGCGAGCATGATGGTGTAAGGAGGCGGCTTTTGAATGATTTTTTGCAAAAATTAAAGTCAGTCACACTACTAACCTTTTCATTCTGATAAGCAGTGACAGCGATAAATTCGGTCTCCTTGAAAACAAATGTGCGAAAAGTAGAATAGGGCAAATTGATGAGCTCGGAGCACCGGACCACATGTAACCGCGGCTGATATTTATGCATCGAATTCAATATTGTCTGCAAATAAAATCACTTTTCTACAAATGCGCAGCTTCCTGAATTTCTAACATCAGGAGTTCTTACAAGAGGATACTCTACTGGAGAATTTGGTGAAGCGAAAGGAAAACAAGGAAAAAATTTAGTATGAAAAAAATACATTAGAA